ATATATATATATATATATATATATATATATATATATATATATATAGTATTCTTTTTTATGTTTATAGGATTTTAATACAGGATTTTATATTTTCAACTTAATAGATAGGATAGTTTTTATTACGATTATTTTGCATTTTTAATTGCCAATTTAAGAATTTATTATTTAGAGATTATCAAGGTCATGAAGTACTGGAAGCTTTCGGCAGATAACGGTGTACCACAATTCAATTATTTCACGTTTTTTTTCAGATTTACATATGACATAACCTAACCTTGCTTTTTTATATTTTTTTTTTGGGAATATTATTATTTTATAATTGTGTATATTATTGTGTATGTGTGTGTTGTTATAATTTACTAATTAATTTAGTATTAGATTAAATTAACATTTTATAACCTAAACCAAAGTAACGTATAACCACAGTACCTTATATTTACATGTGACATAACCTAACCTTGCTTTTTATATTTTTTTTTTGCGAATATTATTATTCTATAATTGTGTATATTATTGTGTATGTGTGTGTTGTTATAATTTACTAATTAATTTAGTATTATATTAAATTAACATTTTATAACCTAAACCACAGCAATGTATAACCACAGTACCCTATATATATATAAATTTCTGCACTAACTATCTTTTACCTATTATACCTATTTTGTTATATATACAGGTATCTATTAACACGAATAATGTAAGTAAGATTTATTTTAAGCGATGACAATAATATTGTCCAACTGTAAGATAGAAATCGAATGTGTGTATATGTGTATACACTAAACTCGTATATATACATATATATGTATTTGTGTATGATCAGAAAGTATCGCAACAGTGATCATTTTGCTTGCTTGCAAAATAAAAACTCGAAAACGCGTCGAGCAAACAAAATACCTTCAGAATATCTTGCGAAAAACTGTATACATTATAACGGGTCCGAGGACGGAAAACGGGCCATGGCTTTTACGCGTTCATGCGCACACAAATACACACATACACACAAACACAAATAAACGAGCGCGTGCTCGAACTTGTATCGTCTGTATGTCTGTTTGTGTCTGTCTGTTTGTCTGTCTGTCTATCTTTCTGGCTGTCTGTCTGTCTGTCTACCTATCCTATCTTTATATATGCTTGTATTTCGATTGCACGCGTGTGTGGGCGTGTACGTACATTGCAAAAGAGCAAGAGAGAGAGAGAGAGAGAGAGAGAGAGAGAGAGAGAGGATTGTGTCATTGCGTAAGAAAATCATTTGTCGTTACTCGTTAACTATACTTAATATTATGTATATGTGTGTTCTACGAAACTATTCATGAACTTACTACATTTTTTTTTCCATTTTTATTTCTATTTTAATTTCTATAAGTATTTATGTTTAACAGAGCACAAAGTTATTATAGTTGATAGATATAATTGTTCAGATTATACTAATTTATGTTTCCAATTATTATAATATATAGTCACACTTTATGTTATAGTATCATAAAAGTATTTATATCAATCGTAGTGTTATTAATTATTAATAAATAATAATATAATATTATTTAGAATGATTATTTTTATTAGAAAATAAAATAATAATTAACATTAACAATTAATATAATAATATAATACTAAATGTAGTATTAATTAATATATGCGGTGTTAAAATTTGTTTCCGCCATTTTTCTATAAGCCATCTGTAGGAAAATAGTAGAAGAAAGCTGTAAACCTAATAAATATACATTAATATATATTCATAGGTTATTTAT